AAATAAATGACAGTAAAATAAGAAAATCCCTAAAAATAAAAAGAAACAATGAAAGATACATCAGGTTCTCAGCTCACACAGACCACTGTTAAAAATCCACCACTCTTCTCGGATTTAAACAAGACTTCAGACACTCGTCAAGTCAAAACACGAGATTTCACCTACAAGGAGAGGGCATCTGGTCAATAACAAGTGCGTCACACAACAATGGATGGATGTTGCAGTTAATCTGGATCGAACGTAGGAATTCTAGCAGAGGCGAGATGGCCCAAGTGGTTAGAGCGCGAATTTACTGACCGGAAGGTCCGTGGTTCGAACCTGACCTCTGCCCCTCGAATTCCTCTGTCAAGGCTTGGGAAACCTGGCAGTATCCCAGTCCTTGTGCTTCCTTCAGGTGGTATGGCACCTAGGCACCGAAAGGGTGCCACGGCTAAACGATTTTTTCTAACAAACAACCGAGGTTGGATTCCCATACATAGAAAATGCGGCAAGCTGAGGACAACCATATCCAAAGTGTGAACAGCGTCCACAGGCGCTCCTGCAGGATGTGGAAAAGTAATCCACTATGATTTTCGTACTGACTGGGACTCATCAAGCGAATACAGAAGGACCAGTTAACAGTTCTCATCGGTTACCGTCACGTCAAGCGGCAGCCCACCATAATTGTTGCAAAGTGGATCGGTGGAACCAGAGTTATTTCTTGAACCTAGCCAGGAAATTAGACTCAAAGAGAATCGTGAAAAACTGGCTGCTCTCTCGTGGCTGAATGTTATGGCTAATTTCATCGTATTGAGCAGGACAGTAATTCATTTTGATCCACATTCGCTTTGCGCCAGGAGGTGGTTAGTGGCTTTACGGCACGGCGGTAAACGCCGAAAACTGCGGGACAGAGAAACGTGACGGATCCCAGTACACCTACCTCATGAGGAGGGAGCGCGTACTGAATTGCATTTCAGGGAGTGACCACATTCCGCCTTTGAAGGTGGACATGTTCAAACCTATCGGATTCTCCAAACGGATCGTGGAAATTCAGGAGTAACATCTGACTACTCTCAACTCAGCTACACAATAGTATCAAGAACGTGATGCACTGATAGCGTGCGCATCGTAGTAAGTAATCAACCAACCTGGTGAATTACTGACACAAGTACAAGCCATACGCTGGAGTTGGCTAGCTGATTGGATACCAAGAAAGGTGGGTCCTTCGGCCCTGCACAACCGTGGAGTAATGACATCGATCACAAGACGCTTGGTTGGTGCAACTGAGCTGAGCTAATGTTTTAGCATAAACTATGGTCAGAGCTTCGTAAAACACTATTACCAAACTGCCATGAATCAGACTCAGAGAGAATGAGCATGGGATCGGTGTGTAAATAAATCGACCAAAGAAAAAAACAGAATTTACAGATGTGGATGATGAGAGCTTGCATTCCATCAACAGAAACGAGAAGGAGGGCGCAGTGGCTTCAGTGATGGCGATGGGTCAGAAGTGAATAAATGAATAAATAAAAAACACGCCTGCAAGCTAATGGGCGTAGGTAATAACACTGGGCGTTGATTTAGAGATCCGGACATACTTATCGACACAACAAAGCCAAATGTTAGATGCGAAGATGAAAATTAAGCTTGCAGCAACTCTGCCTCTACAAGATGGTGTGTAGCACTGACGCAAGTCACCAAACACGGACAACGAAAAACATGCTCACTGGCCATGCTCAAAAATTCCAAGTTAGGTAATGAAAGATGGTCTGTCGCCGGTCAAGACGAGATAACAAGTAGACCTGGACACATCATTGACTGACAGACTCAGACCAGCGAAGGTGACAGACTAATTCGAAACATAACCGATAGATTTCGAAATCCCAATCTCGTTCTCATGTTTTCATCCATTCCGAAGACCATGGTTCGCCTTTTTGGGGCAATAACCACACATACACACAAGTCCCGTCTTTCATTGTGGTGCAACTCGTTCTGCTGGAGAAAGTGAAAAATGTTATACTACTCACCAAAACAAAGTAATACGGAGACCTCGCCCCCAACCGCTGAGCTGGCTGGACCAATAGTAAAGCGCAGAAAATGGGGATGCAGAGAGGATATTGGTCTCCCTCCCCGGAGAAACCATACAAAGTGGGCAGCAATAAATCTACATGCCAGTTCGGTGATAGTAAGCTTAATAATGACGAAGATTGTGAATGACTCAGTACGACCAAAAAGGGGACGGTTGAACAACACTATTCGGGGAGGGGTATGCCAAACGCAGTACTAGGTGAGGGAAGACAGGAGAAGGGAAGTAGGGATTATCATCATCCTTATGAGCTAAGCACACGATGGTGGTCCTCAATAGTATCCAGTATACCATAAAAAGTAGAAAAAAGGAACACACCGACTGGGCAAAACACATACATATACGTATCAAATACGCACTAAAAGAAACGAAGCACACACACAATGAATGAACAACGGCATGCAAGCGCACGCGAACAACTAACGGAGCAACTGACCTCATACGCGTCCTTGAACCACGGATGTGTTTGTGTAGGGAACAGGATGAGCGAGATAAAACAAACAGCCCATGATACATTGGTGAAACAGGGATGAACAATATATGTGGGGTTTGTGTGATAAGTAGGAGCAAACAACGATTGCATGAAATGACTGCAAACTCATC